GGTGCATCTATAAAAGTTGGTAAGAGTCCTTGTGGACATACTGAAACTCCTTAGCCTCTTGAGGAGGTAGAGGTGTTGTTATGCTTTCTTGACCATCTTGTCAACGTCGGTGGTCCAGGACAGATTGTTGGTGATCATCACTCCTCGGACCGTCTCCACCTCAGTTCCATTGATGTAGATAGGGGCGTGTCCTCCATCTTGTTTCCTGAAGCCAATGACCAGCTCTTTTGTTTTGCTGATGCTGGGGCAAAGATTGTTCTCTTTACACCAAGCACTTTATCTCTTTCCTGTATTCTGCCTCGTCCTTGTTTGATATCCAGTCTACCACGGTGGTGTTATCAGTGAACTTGTAGATGTAGTTTGGATACAGTTATGAGTATACAGGGAGCATAGTCAGGGGCTGAGTATGCAGCCTTTTGGGGCACCGGTGTAGAGGATTACGGTGGAGGAGGTGTTGTTGTCTATTCTCACTGATTGCGGTCTGTGGGTCAGGAAGTTGAGGATCCAGTTGCAGAGGGCGGAGCAGAGACCTAGGCCTCGGAGTTTGGAGATTAGTTTTGTTGGAATTATAGTGTTGAACGTGGAGCTGTAGTCAATAAGTAGATACGGGTATCCTCAGTTTTGAACCTACCTCCTCTCACCCTATATCTATGCTGTCTTATTTGAGACTGTCCCACAAGGAGGAATATCTGTTCCACGTCCACCTTATCAAAGCCCTTCAGCATTTTATATACCTCAATCAGATCCCCCCTCATTCTTCTGAACTCCAAGTAGAAGCCCAAACTATTCAACCACTCCTTGTATGACAGCCCTTTCATCCCTGGAATCAACCTGGAGAACCTCCTCTGAACTTCCTCCAGTGACCCCATATCCTTCCTCAAGTAAGGAGACCAAAACTATGTACAATACTCAAGACGTGGTCTCACCAACACTTCATATATGGCACAGAGGAAATGGGTGCCCGGCTTTGCAGAGAGGTCCCTGGAGGTGCTACTGGACAGGGTGCTGCAGGCAAAGACCAGCAATGGAGACCATGACACCCAATCCATGCCAGCGTGGTCTGAGGCTGCCACCCAGGTCACTGTGGTCTCAGTTGTCTGGAGGAATGCCCAACGCTGTAGGAAGAGGACCAATTTCCTTCTCCACTGCACCATCTCCTCTCTGATACCTCACAGTCACTCTCTCTCTCTCCTAATGGAGCCACCTTCCACCAAGGCTCATAATCTACCACTCGGCTCAACACATGCAATGTCTTCCCTCACCCATCCGTTCTCTACACCTGCCCCACCCTCACCAAGACTAATAAATCTGCACTCCCTCTGTGCCTCCTACTCTGCATTGGGATCCTTCAACACTTATTCCCCCTTTGTACCAGCTGTATCAACCACTTCCATCTCACTCTGCTCCTCTCTCTCTCTCAGTCCAGTGGAAAATGACTGACAAAAGGACAGAAAGAGGCAAGGTGGGTGGTGGGGTGTCCAGCATTCATCTCCTCCCTCTCTGCACAGAGATGATCCTGATCATGCCCACCTTCAATGACTGATTGTGCCTGAGCCATTGCACTGACATTGGACACTGCCTTTGACTGACTGGCCTGGCATCCCCAGCCTAAAGGGTAGTTCCCATGTGACTTCACTGAGGGCTGCTTCCCTTAGACTTTGAGGCATGGCCATTTGGGTGAATCCATTTGGGGAGGTGATGGCCTAGTGGTATTATTGCTGGACTGTTAATCCAGAGACCCCAATAACGTTCTGGGGACCTAGTTTCGAATCCCACCATAGCAGATGGTGGAATGTAAGTTCAATAAATATCTGGAATTAAGAATCTAATGATGACCATGAATCCATTGTCGATTGTTGGGAAAAACCCATCTGGTTCACTAATGTCCTTTACGGAGGGAAGCTGCCATCCTTACCTGGTCTGGCCAACATGTGGTTGACTCTTAACTGCCCTCTAGGCAATTAGGGATGGGCAATAAATGCTGCCTAGCCTGCGTAGCCTACATCCCGTGAATGAATAAAGAAAACAAAAAGTGTTTTGCACATTACCTGCTAGCACACAGTGTGGGGATAAGATTGATATAGTTCGGTGCCGTCAAAAGACGAGGCTGTGATGCTCGCTCCTTGGGACCTCTATGATTCATCAACATCTCAGGCCATGCTCCCTCTTCGATGATCTCTCACATGGCAACCCTCGTCCAGCGGGACCTCCAGCTCCCAGGTGATAAAGCCGAGTGCCAGTTACCCTCCAACATGGCCAGAGCACATCAAACAGGCTGTGCAGGGTTCTGACCAGGGTTGGGGGTGTCATGGCTGGGATCTAATGATATAGCCAGGAATCCCAAGGGTCTGGTTGGTGGACAGTACTCTCTGCCTGTGTCAAGAGGGAGAATGTGAGAATGGAGAGGGTGAGAAACCCTGGGGAGAAAGAAACCCACCATGACACCTGCTGAAAATGATCCTTCACTGATTTCTGGTAAGATTCAGCCCATTCTCCACGTATCCACTCAAACAACATTGATCATAACCTTTCATAAACCTCACAACCTTTAAAAGGTATGTGAATGAGCATTTGAAATGTCATAACGTACAAGACTATGGGCCAAGTACTGGAAAGTGGGATTAGTGTTGATAGGCCAGTGTAGACTCAATGGGCTGAAGGGTCTCTTTGCTGTATGATTGCGACTGTGCATACCCCTCAGGTACCTCTGAGGTCACTCCTTCGTCTTCTTCATTCAAGAGAAAAGAGCTGCAGCTTGTCAATCCTTTCCTGATTTTTACACCCACACAGTTCCAGTCTCATCCTTGACAATTTCCTATGCACCCTCTCTGGAGCCTCTTTATCCTTCCTATAACAGGACAAGCAGAACTGTACACAGCACAAATAGTCTGGTCTAAACAAAGCTTGATAGAGTTTTAGCAGCAGTTCCCTATTTCTCAATTCTATCCCTTTAGAAGTAAAAGTTAGAATGCAATCTCATGGAGGTCTGAATGATGTGGGTTTATGGTGGATTTCATGTGACAACAAAAGCTAATTCATATTTCATTTCAATGGAGGGGAATCCAGGGAGGACTATTTCAATGGAGGGGAATCCAGGGAGGACTATTTCAATGGAGGGAGCTTCTCACTCCATCTTTTATGCTTTTGCTGAGCAGTGAGGTGGGTTTCTATCTGAGTTGTCAATATTGGGGAATAATACCACAACGCATCTTACTAATATCCACGTTCTGATCTTATCAAACACACTGAACAAGCTTAAGGTCAGAGCAGGGACCTGGTGTTTGCAGCACACTGCTTGCTGCAAAAGACCTCCATGTTGGATACTGGGCACCAACACACTCTCTCCATGGGCAATAGCCACACCCCCATCCACAGGCACTGACATCCGACATGTGCCAGTCTCTCAGAACCCTCCTGGCACATCTCAGATCCACTTCCAGGACACTCCTGCCCCTCAGTGCTGCCCCTTGCACTGTCCTGGGAACTCTCATTGTAATGCTGCTGTGCTCAGGGAACACCCCCCATCCCCCACCCCCTCCCCCCACAGCTCAGGGACTGCCCCAGGCTGTATCTCCTTCCAGGATCATCACTCCCTGTCAGAGCCTTCACTCACTCTGATCACTCACTCGCTCACTCTGATCACTTGCTCACTCACTGATCACTCGCTCGCTCACTCTGATCACTCATTCGCTCACTCTGATCACTTGCTCACTCACTGATCACTCGCTTGCTCACTCTGATCGTTTACTTGCTCACTCTGATCGCTTGCTCACTCACTGATCAAATGCTCGCTCTCTCTGATTACTCACTCGCTCACTCTGATCGCTTGCTCACTCACTGATCACTCGCTCGCTCACTCTGATCGCTCACTCACTGATCACTCGCTAGCTCACTCACTTAGCACTCGCTCACTCTGATCACTTGCTCACTCACAGATCATTCGCTCACTCACTCTGATCGCTCACTCGCTCACTCTGATCGCTTGCTCACTCACTGATCGCTTGCTCACTCACTGATCACTTGCTTGCTCACTCTGATCGCTCACTCGCTCACTCTGATTGCTTGCTCACTCACTTATCACTCGCTTGCTCACTCTGATCGCTCACTCGCTCACTCTGATCACTCATTCATTCTGATCCTACCCCGATATCCACAGCATCCCTACCTTACCTTGTGTTTTTATAGGTAGCAAGAGCTGCAGTTTCTGGAGTCAGAGTCACAGTGTGGAGCTGGAGGAACACAACAGGTCAGGCAGCATCAGACGAGTAGCAGAGTCAATGTTTCGGGTCGTCCTGACCCAAAATGTCGACTTTCCTACTTCTCTGATGCTGCCTGACCTGCTGTGTTTCTGCAGTTCCACACTGTGACTTGTGTTTTTGTACTTTGGCCCCTCAGCCAGAGATACTTGGTTCAACTTCCTGCTGCCATGCCATGCTGTCATGCACTGACACAAAGGGAGGATGCTTGTTGTGGCTGTCCTCAGCCCACAGTCACAACAAGGGAGTTAGCCTTCACTTGCAGGGGTTGGGGGGGAGGTCCTGGCACGGTGATTCAAGGACAGCCTCTGATACCAGCCCAGGCCCTGCTTGGATGGGAGGAGAGCAGGGAGCCAGGATAGGTTGTTAATGGGGCGCCTTGTTAAAATACAGCAAAAAATCTCGCTGGGAAGAACCTTCCAAAAAACTCAACACAACTTACACTAAGCCAAAAAAATTTAAGATTGAATCCATTGAGTTTTGTTTGCTTTTTTATGGTTATACTAACCATACTAGTTGTATCAGTAACACAGCTTCTGTAATTGCTGTGTTTATGTCTCAAGAGGGTGTTTGTTCCTCACCCTCACCTAGACTTGTACCTTACAGATACCTCACAATTAGTAACTGGCTTCCCGATTCAGGGAATGCTGATTGCTGTATATTCTGTTTAAAATATCAAGGGGAGAAAGGTTTGCTGCTAAAGTGAGATTAATTGTTCCTAATAAGTGTTGTTCTGTTTTGTAGGAGATGTAGGTAGACGAGGCTTCTCAGGCAGTATCGGTGAACGGGGACTGCCAGGACCCCCTGGTCAACAAGGCAGACCAGGTGTAACTGGATCAGGTAAGACTTTATCTTTAACCAAAACAGAAATTACTGGAGAAACTCTGTGGAGGGAAAACCAAGTCAGTGTTTCGGGTCTAGTGACCCTCCATCATGGACTGAAACATTAACTCTGCTATCTCCCCACAGATGCTGCCAGACCTGAGTTTCTGTTTCTGTTTCTGTTTCTGTTTCAGATCTCCAGCATCCTCAGTTATTTGCTTCATTCTTTGTTTTATTTAAGATTTTATCTTTAGCTTGCAATACAGACTGATCATGTCAATGTAAAAAGGTTTACAATACCACCTTTGTTAAGGAAATTGGTACTTTGTGACACGTGGTTAGCACATCATCCTTCAAGTTCTTGACCTTGGGGTCATTTGATTGGATGGTTAGAGATCTGTCAGTCTAAACCCAGAGGAAACCCACACTGACAGGGGCAAAATGTGCAAACTCCACATAGACAGTCACCCAAGGTTGGAATTGAATCGGGGTCCCTGGTGCTGTGAGGCAGCAGCACTGGCAACCACTGATGGAACACCTAGTCAAATGCCTTTTGACACTAGATCTACAGGGTCCCACTCTAAGTTGTCTGGCTCAATCAATTACTAAACTTCTGGGGAACCTTTGGGTAAACCTTCTTTGCCTGAAGGCAGGTCTGATCCACAGTGCCACAATCCCTACCTTGGGCAGGACTGTAGGTAGGTCCCAGCCCACTACAGCCTGTATAGGGATTGAATCTCATTCTGTTCACACCAATCTGAACCAGACGGCTCACCCAACAATTCTCATTTTACCTGTAAGTTGCAGCCTGGAGCTGTGGACAATGATGGTAGAGGCTCCAATTTCTTTCCATTATATGGACCAGGAATATCTCTCAATCTTCCCACCTGCTGCTGGCAAATGGCAGAAGGATTCTCTGATTGGTTCACAACCTATTTGACCATGTTATGAATTCACCTTCCTTAGTATGAACGTTACCAAAAATTGGCATTTCCTTCTTGTTTATTTTATGTAATAAAACGAAATATATATTACTTGGGTACAGTACCAATACCTAATTATTGGAGAGATTGCATGTAATTTTTCACAGTATAGCTTGCTGCCAACCTGGAAACAACTGAAGCCAGGTTATACACTACATTAGCTGCAAGTCATGTCCGGGGATAAATATTAGCTTTTGTAGTAAAAGGAAACCAGTTGCTACAATAGCATGCTTTAAATATGCCAGTGACACAGTGAACCAAAGGGTAGATCATTGAGCCAACCACCACTTTCTTCCACTACAGGCTGTCAAGAAAATAGTGACTAATATGTAGCAGTTCTCCTGTTTTGTAGATCACGACTGTCAGGAATAATGCTCACATTATGTACTGGGCAGGATAATTGACATTTTTTAACAATTCAAATTTACAATCTTCAGTATTACTGATACCACAGGAACAAGGACATTGTTAGTTTGTTATAAAAACATCGCAAATTTGAATCAAAAGCAGAAGTTGCTGGAAAAGCACTGCAGGTCTGGCAGCATCTGTGAAGAAAAATTCAGAGTTAAAATTTTAGGCCGAGTGATCCTTTCTCAGAACTTGAAAATTTGAATCATTGGCTATGCTTCCTTTCCCTTAGCTATATTTACTTGGTGTGGATTCAAATGAGAGTTTCATCCTACTTTTCACTTCTACTGCAATTATATTTGTCTCTTGTTAAAAGGCACATTGTTTGATATAGTTAGCAGCTGGTTCCTTTGATCAATTTACTTTTAAGGGTGTCTTTTCTTTGCAGGTTTACCAGGTCTTCCAGGGTTTCCAGGTTTTGATGGTCCTAAAGGAGAGGAAGGACAGAAAGGCAGTGCTGACTGTCCATTACCAAACATCATCCCAGGTCCTCGAGGGCTGACGGGTTCACCAGGTCCTCGAGGTCTCCCAGGTGTCAAAGGCAGCCCAGGTATATGAAAACATGGAGCTACTGTATTGCCAAGTTGCAAAGAACATGGTTTCTCCATACAACACCTCACTCGAAGTTAAATGTTGGAAAATGACAAACATGTAAACATTGAAATTCTTTTTCACAACCACAGACACGTGAAGAGATGTATGGTCTCAGAGTCATTAATATTGGTTCTTGACTGCATGAAGTCAAGTCAAATGAGACCTAGGAAGTCTCCTGCTCTTTACCATATGCCAAAACTGATAAATCAGTATTTTTCCAAATTTAACCTTAGTCAGAGGAAGCACCAAGTAGAGGAGGCACATAGAATATACCCTGGCTATCGTTAAGATTAGTTTGGTACTACTGCCGTTGATCAGCTGACTGAGTCCACAAAACATGGCTGCCATACTAAGCCTGGGTGAGTTGCTGAGGGAAGCAACAGACAACATATCCCACTTGACCAACCTAATTGTTAGAAGAACACAGCAACCCCAGGAATTCACTGTAAGAGCTAAACGGGGTGTGTTCTCAACCAACTATTTTTATCCATTTCATCAACAACCAAAATTTAAGGAATAGGTGGTTAGTTATGTACCCCTTTCCCCCCTCCTCCTTATTCCCCTCTTTTCACACAGTTTAATACTGGGGTGTTTAACATTTTAATGTGAGCGAACATATTTCATTTATTTTCTCACTCAAGAGGTCAATCAGCAAATTTCAGGAAAAATAATGTTAGACATGAGCTTTAAAATAAAAGTTGAGATATAAAGATAGCAATGCACTAGTTAAAAAAAGGCAAAGCAATAAATTGATGACTCAAAAATGAGTAATTATTAAAGATAGCTATTAAAAATTGCCAAGTAGCAGAACTAAATAATAAAATTTCTTTTGCCTTTTGAAACAGGGCAGTGAGAAAGATAGCGTAAGCCTATGTCTTGGTCACCAGGGAAGGGTCAGAATCTGAGTCTAGGCAAGAAGTTGGGTGTAACAACTAACTAACCTTGCATTCACCTCTGAAGGCCATACTCTGAGCTGGTGCTGGGGGAATTCATACAACAGTCAGGGTCAGAAGTGAGCTTCCTTTCAGCCAATGATTCCTCCTCATTTCCAGTCTCAGGCCTCACAGTCACACACACTCACACACACACACCTACACACACACTGGTTTCCTCACACACACTCTCTCGCTCACATAGCTACACACTCACACAATTCCTTGCACACACACTCTCACTCTCTCACTCACTGACATATCCCTTGGTCCCAGGAAGTCTATTCTGCCACCCGCTATGTAGTCTCAAGGGGCAGGTGCTGCGTGAAATGGTATCCTTCCCTGTCCAAAGGGCAAACACCCCCCCTCCCTCCGTTACCCCTGGCAATGTGTAGCCAGGAACATAAAGTCCCTCAGACCATGCTCTCACCAGGCCCTCAGCTGCTGGTGTCCAGGCCTCTGTCTGAATGAAACTGCCCAAGTTTGTTTTCCATTCAGTCACAGACCATTTCTCTCCCGCTTTTTACTGATACGGTCACCCATAAGGGTGACCAGAAATGGCCTTTGAAATTTTTAAAAATCACTCATGCTACATGGGTGTTGTTGGCTGGCCAGCATTTATTACTCATCCCTAGTTGCCCCTGAGAAGATGCTGTTTGCAGAATCATTACCCTCCAGCTGCCTGTATGTTAAACAGCAGAATCCAGCTTCAGGGAGAAAGAGAGACACTGGGCTGGCCAAACATTGATTATCCCAGATTGAAAACTTATCTCCCTGCAGACCGAGTTTCACTCCATATGGTGGGTGGGGACTCCCCTCAGCCACATCTTTAACCGTCATTGGACTCTGATGTGTGTCCTAGCTCTCTAACTGAACTGATGCAAGAGACCCTAATAAATTATCACTGTGAGGGTGTGGAGGGACTAATTAACTGGCTCTCACTCTGTCTTGTTTCTGCTGGGTGGTGTGAGGGAGTGGGGGAAGGGGGTTGTGAAATACTCTCTGAAATCTCTAAAACTTCAAGTTAGGAGTCCAGGTAACAGAATCCAAACCTAGGAAATAATCACAAAAAATGGGTCAAAAATTGTAACTGTGTCAAATAGAAACTTGTCTGTGTACACTGATCATTTATTTTGTCTGGATGAAAGTATAGGTTTCATTTGTGAAACAACGGGACCTCCAGGGTTACCAGGTCTGAAAGGTAACCAAGGAGCTCCGGGTCAAAAAGGAGTCCATGGTTTAAAAGGTAAATGTTAGATTTAATATCATTAGAAGGGACAAAGCCACAATTTTACAGTTAGAGTTAGGAAGAACTGCTAATGCTGGAGTCAGAGACAACACAGCGTGGAGCTGGAGGAGCACAGCAGGTCAGGCAGCATCAGAAGAACAGGAAAGCTAATATTTCTTCAGAAGAAGGGTCCTGACCTGAAACATCAGCTTTCCTGCTCCTCTGATGCTGCCTGGCCTGCTCTGCTCCTCCAGTTCCACACTGTGTTATCACAATTTTACAGCTATATCTTTTATAGACACCAATGACTTGTCTATTATAAATGACCTCAATTACTCTCCTAGTTAAATTCTGTAGTATAAAAGTGGTAGATAAAACATAGAAAAAAGGAGCAGCAATGGGCCATTGAGCGTTCTCCTCTATTTAATATGATCATGGCTGATCATCCAACTCAGTGCCCTGATCCCACTTTCTCCCCATTCCGTTTGATCCCTTTATCCCTAAGAACTATATGAAACAGCCTCTTGAAAACATTTAATGTTTTGGCCTCCACCACTTTCTGTGGCAATGAATTCCACAGGCTCACCACTCTTTAGGTGAAGACATTTCTCCTCATCTCAGTCCTAGATGACCTACTCTGTATCCGTAGACTGTGACCCCTGTTTCTGGACTCTCTGGTCATTGGGAATATCCTTCCTGTATTTGCCCTGTCCACTTCTGTTAGAATTTTATAAGTTTCTATGAGATCCCCCGATTCTTCTGAACTCCACTGAATAAAGTTCTAACCGATCCACTCTCCCTTCATATGTCAGTCCTGCCATCGCAGGAATCAGTCTCATTAGAACCAATTTTGTCTATAACCAAAGCCAAAAATAAGTTTAGTGTTTAAATAAGATCTAGAGAGTGAATATTTCTTCCTGTTCATTATAAAATTAGTAAAATTAAATTCATTTTCCTTTGTGTTAACACTGACTTTTATTGGATAGGAGATCCAGGGGACTGTGCCTGTCTTCCGGGTTTGCCAGGATCCCCAGGAAATCCAGGTAGGCCAGGCATTCCCGGAAATCCTGGAAATCCAGGAAGAAAGGGAGAGCAGGGTGACCGTGGACCATCTGGACCAGCTGGATTGCCAGGACTTCCTGTGAGCAGTGTTCATTATTAATAAATGGTCTGAGATAGACTTAGAATTGCTGAGAAGTAACATCAATTATATGCTTTGAATCCTGTTAATTTAGCTAATTATTTTTTAAAACCAGGAATAGATTATTGAGTGTATTAATATTTTGATTCTGATAGATATACTGAATATTGCACCTGGCAATTGTTACTTCAGCATCAATACTTTGAGAGGCATAGGACTGGCAGATATAAGCATAATAGTTCTGTTCTTCATAGCTCACATCCAAAATCAGTTTTGATTGAGGGGATTAAAGATATATGTGGAATGTTTTTTGAGATGGCTCAATCTAGCTGCAAATTGACACCAGTCTATTGCATAAAATACTGATAATGAAACTTAAATTGTCAAAGAAGTACTCATATTTGGGGATGAAGTGCTGTCCTAGAATTGAAAATGTATTCATCATTGAGATTCATCATTGAGAGTAGAGATTTTTGAGGGGTATCTAATCCACGGTATTTCTGATATTGGGAGAGCTAGTACTCACTGCTGTTTCATTTCCCAGCACAGACTCTGCTATAGGAAAGATGTTGTTAAACTTGAAAGGGTGCAGAATGATTTACAAGGATGTTACCAGGATTGGAGGGTTTGAGCTGTAGGGAGAGGCTGAATAGGCTGGGATTATTTTCCCTGGAGCATTGGAGGCTGAGGATTGACTTTATAGAGGTTTATACAACCATGACGGACATGGACAGGGTGAATAGCCAAGGTCTTTTTCCCAGGGTAAGGGAGTCCAAAACTAGAGGGCATAGGTTTAAGGTGAGAGGGGAAAGATTTAAAAGGGACTTCAAGAGCAACTTTTTTACACAGAAGGTGGTGCATGAATGGAATGATCTGCCAGAGGAAGTGGTGGAGGCTGGTACAATTACAACGTTAAAAGACATCTGGTTGGGTATATGAATAAGACGGGTTTGGAGGGATATGGCTAAATGTTGGCAATTGGGACTAGATTTTGGGAGGATATCTGGCGGGCATGGATGAGTTGGACCAAAGGGTCTGTTTCTACGCTGTACAATTCTATGACTCTGACTCTCCATAATTTGAGAATAATTAAAGAAACTGCCACAGAATGAAAGAAGACAATGCTAGTTCTCAATCTGCCTATCATTATTTTTATCCATAGGGACCTTCTGGAAGGCAAGGCCCTCCTGGTGCAAAGGGACACAAAGGAATATCATCACAGGTCGCAAAGAAAGGTAATTCTGGCATTAAGTTGTGAAAACACCAACCAATAATTTTTTTAAACATCTGAAATTAAAACGTTTGACGTTACAATCTACATTATAATGAATATTAACATTATGTCCACTACAACTTGAGGATGAACATGGCACTATGTACAGTACTGGTTGCTGTACTGACAGAAGAATGTTAATACATCAGAAGAAATTCAGAGAAGTACCAAACCAATATCTAGAATGAGCAGACTGTGCTTTGAGGAAAGGTGGACAGGCTGGGCCTCTATCCTCTGGAGTTTAGAAGAGTCAGAGGTGACTTAATTAAAACATATAAGGTCCCGAGGGGACTTGACCAGGTGCATGTGGAAAGGATGTTTTGTCTTGTGGGAGAGTCTAAAATTAGGGGTCGCTGTTCAAGTGTAAAGGGATGTCAATTTAAAATAGAGGTTAGGAAACATTTTCTTCTCTCACAGGGTTGAGAGTCTTTGGAATTCCCTTCCTCAAAAGCCAATGAATGCAGAATCTTTAAATATTTTAAAGGCAAACATAGATAGATTCTTGATGACCAAGGGGATGAAAGATTATCAGGATCATGCAGGGCTGTAGATTAAAGTTATAATCAGATTAGCTATGATCTTATTGAATGGCCGAATGGCCTACTCATGTTCCTTATTCATCAACTTTAACTTTTAAAGTTGAGGTTGATGTACATTGTGGAGTCATTCTGGAGTCAGTTTTCATCTGTATCTATCAATATTAATCCTGAATCTAAATTATTTTATTCGCCAAATCGCTGATGTCCCTGTTCTTAACTTGCATTATGTCTCATTCACTCTTCACCCTGTGTTCACTGACCTATATTGGCACCTGGTTAAGAAATATTTCAATTTTTAAAATTCTTATCCCTATTTCCAAAACTCTCCATGACTTGAACCCTACCTGCAACAACAGTAAATCGTGTTTATATTTCATCCTTATTGTAATAAAATTTCACAAGCTGCTTTGTAAGAACATTACAAAACAAAATTTGATTCTGAGCAACATAACTTTACATCACATCTAAAAGACAGTGAAATATTTTTATAATTCCCTTTGACAGGAGAGAAAGGAATTCGAGGTAATCCAGGACCTCCAGGTGTTGTTGGAAGAGCTGGAGAACCTGGTCAACATGGAATTCCAGGACCTATTGGCTTACCGGGAATCCCAGTGAGTATTTCAAACTCAATGTTGCTGTTGATGCTGGAAATCTGAGATGGAAAGAACAAAAAATATTGGAAATTCTCAGCAGGTCAGGAAAATAGTGCTGAAGTTGATCAGCTGTGATGTAGTTGAACAGAACAGGTGTGATGAGTTGAATGACCTACACCCACTCTTGTTTCCCCATGTTCCTGTCATCATCTGTGGAGACAGACACAGAGTTTAGAGCAGGAATTTTACTAGCAGTGGCAATGAATTCACACTCATTCACATTGAATTCCATCTGCTCTGTTCTAGCCCATTCACTCACACTGTCCAAGTCCTCTTAAAACCTCCATCCATCCTCATCACAACATGTGTTCTAACCCAGTTTAGTGTCATCAGCAATTTTAGAAATGTTACAATTGATCCTCACATGTAAATCATTGATATAGATTCTGAATTGTTGTGGACCTAGCTCTGACCCTTATGTACCCCCTTGACTCCTTAAATACTGAAGCAGTCCATGTCCAAATGCAGCAAGACCAGCAAAATATCCAGGCTTGGGCTGCCAGGTGGTGAGGAACATTTACAACACACAGATTGAGCTGCTATTTCATAGATGTAGCTACAGTTTGACTGAGTTTTGGAGCTGTGTATCTCTACATTTAAGCAGGAAAGGCAAAAACAAAAAAAAAATCATTCAGATAGTTTCTTTAATTCAGCCTTGTTAATGTTATTTTCCTATTTGTTACTTGGTTTTGCTTCATCTGTCTTCTACTTTTGCTTACTACTCTTTTACTGCCTTTTACTAGTTTTGCTTCCTCTTAAGTCTGAGCTCCTTCTACGTTCCCATCCACCTGCCAATCTAGTTTAAATCCTCCCCAACAGCACTAGTGAATCTCCCCCTTAGTCCTTGTCCTTCTAAGATGTAAGCTGTCCATTGGGAGTACAGGTCCTCCTTGCCCCAGAGCTAGCCCTAATGCTAGAGGAATCTGATGCCGTTTCTCCTTCACCAGTTTCCAGCCATGTGCTCAATTAATTGATTCTCTGATTTCTATCCACACTAGCACATGGGTCTGGGAGTGACCTGAGATTACTGCTCTGGGAATCCTGCTTTTCAATCTCCTTCCAAACTCCTGAAAATATGCTTCCTGGACCAAAAATGAACAAGGAACAAGTGACCTTCTTGAGCTTGCTCCGCCATTCAATATGATCATGACTCTGACTTTCACCTTGACTCCACCTTCCTACATATCTCCAATAACCTTTCATCCCCTTGAGAACTCAGATTCTACCTACCTCAGCTTCAAAAATATGTAAAGATTCTGCATCCACCGCCTTTTGAGGAAACAAATTCTAAAGGCTCCCGAATGAGTCCCACTCTCCAGCCCTATCTCCACAGCCCTCTAACGTCATCCCTTTCAAATATATATCCAGTTCTCTTTTGAAACCTTCTGTTGAATCTGCCTCCACCACTCTCCCAGGCAGTGCATTCAAAATCCTAATAACTCTCCGAGTAAAGAAGCTTCTCCTCATCTCACTCGCTGACAATCTTGAACCTTTGATCCCTATTGTTTCCAATGGTCTCGAAACAAAGGAATAAGCTGGACCACCACTTTTCTCTTCAGTTTTCCATTCTGGACAATGTTGATGGCAATAGTTCCTCAGAGGAGTGCAATCAGAACCAAGTCAGTTGCACCATGAGCAGCTCAGCTGAATAGGAGGAGAGAAGGAAGAGTGGAAGGACAAGGACAGTACTGAGTAATAGAGTCATAGATGAAAAGAGACCCTTTGGTTTAAGTCGTCCATGCTGACCAGATATCTTAAATTAATCTAGTTCCATTTGCCAGCATTCGGCCCATATCCTTTTAAACCCTTCCTATTCACATATCCATCCAGATGTCTTTTAAATGATGTAAATGTTCCAGCCACTGCCACTTCCTCTGGCAGATCATTCCATATGCGCACCACCCTCTGTGAGAAAAGGTTGCCCCTTTTATATCTTTCCCCCCTCACCTTAAACCTACCCCCTCTAGTTTTGGACTCCCCCACCCTGGGAAAAAGACCTTGGCTATTCATCCTATCCATGCCCTTCATGATTTTATAAACCTCTATGAGCTTCCAATGCCCCAGGGAAAATAGCCCCAGTCTATTCAGCCTCTCTCTATAGCTCAAACCCTCCCCCCCGGCAACATCCTTGTACATCTTTTCTGAATCCTTTCAAGTTTCACAACATCCTTCCTGTAGTAGGGAGACCAGAATTGCACACAGTATTCCAAAAGTGGCTGAACCAATGTCCCGTACAGCCGCAACATGACCTCCCAACTCCTTATCAATCTCAGCACCTGTTACAATGAAAATATATGTCTGGATCAAACCCTCCATCCCTGGGAATACCCTTGAAAATCTTTTCTGCACCCTTTCAAGTTTAACAACATCTTTCCTATAGCAGGGAGACAAGAATTGAACACAGTATTCCAAAAGTTGGCCTAACCAATGTTCTATACAGGTGCAACATGACATCTGACTCCTATATTCAATGCACTCACCAATAAAGACATAGCTTTCTTCACTGCCCTTTCAACCCGCGACTCCACTTTGAAGGAACTATGAACCTGCACTGAAGGTCTCTTTGTTCAGCAACACTCCCCAGGACCTTACCATTAAGTGTATAAGTCCTACCCTGATCTGCCTTTCCAAAATGCAGCACCTCACACTTATCTAAATTAAACTCCATCTGCCAATCCTTGGCCCATTGGCCCATCTGATGAAGGTCCCGTTGTACTCTGAGGTAACATTCTTCGCTGCCCACTACAGTTTTGATATCATCTGCAAACTTACTAAAACCTTTCCTCCTATGTTCACATTCAAGTCATTTATATACATGATGAAAAGCAGTGGATCCAGCACCGATCCTTGTGGCACACTGCTGGTCACAGGCCTCCTCCTCTGAAAAACAACCCTCAACCACTACCCTCTGTCTTCTAACTTCAAACCAATTTTGTATCCAAATGGCTAGCTCTCCTTGGAATCCATGTGATCTTACCTTGCTAACCATGTCTACCATGCGGAGCCTTGTTGAATGCCTTGCTTAAGTCCATACACACAACATCCACCGCTCTGCCCTCATCAGTCTTCTTTGTCACTACCAAAAAAACTCAATCAAGTTAGTGAGACACGATTTCCCATGTTGACTATCCCTAATCAGTCCTTGTCTTTCCAAATACCTGTAAAACTTGTCCCTCAGGATCCCCTCCAACAACTTGCCCACCACAACATCTGGCCCAACAGCCCGGTGGGAAGCTCACTCCCACGTAAGCCACTTGGTAAAAACTGTAATTGTCTCCCAGCAACGCCACTGGACAAGGTAAACACACATATTACAAAAGAGCTGGCCACATTGGGGCGATGATTCTGGCCCTCTGCACAGGTAAAGGTAAAGTCACCATAGTCCCAGAGGACCATAGAGCTGATCCCGTATTAGGGACAGATGACTGATGGTGGTTTAATGTGAGGGTCACCACACTTCAGGTGGGAGGGAGAGGTTGAGAAGGAGAGTCCTTAATGGCAACCTTTGAGCTGGTGTGGGAATTGAACCATACTGTTGGCAAAGTTGAAACCAGTCGGGTTCTAGTGAATCCAGGTGCTGGGGTGGATACATTACCTGGGTGAATTTAACTTGCCAGCTGACAAATTTCTGCCACGTGGTGTTAAAATGATCAGGTAGGAGGATAAAATCCCTCTCCGCAACTTTTCCCTTGCTCCAGTAACGAAGTATCTCGGTATCATTGATTGTGTTTATATCTCCCGCAGGGTGAATCAAAGTGTGGATCTCGAGGGGAGAAAGGTTTCCAGGGCCACGCAGGGTCTCCTGCACTGCCAGGACCACCCGGACCCCCAGGTGTGGGTTACCCTGGTCTGAAAGGACAAAGTGGCCCTGTTGGAGATCAAGGGTTTACAGGCGAACAGGGTTCTAAAGGACAGAAAGGCCAGAAAGGTAATGCATCAAATATACCATGCAATGATTTTCAAAAGTAACATTGTTCTGTAAATCTGTCCTTTATTGTCATATATCATTTCAGACATCTTTAACTAAACTCTTCAGAGATAGCATCATATAGTAAAAGAGGACTTCCAGTCCATCAACACACAAATACTCTAAATCGACACGAGTCCTGTTTTCTAGCACTTGGCCCATAGCCTTGAAAGTTATGATACTTCAAGTGCTCATCCAAGTTCTTGTTAAAGGGTGTAATGTTTCATGCTTCAACTCTTCTCCCTGGCCGTGCATTTCAGACACACAACCACACCATTTATGTAATGACACACCTCTGGAGCAGGTAGGACTTGAACCAGGACCTCCTGGTCCAGACACAGGGACACTTCTAGCAAACATTATGCTGTAATGCCTCATGTTGTAATTCATGAATGTTATGGGTCCTAACAGCAATTGCTGAACACATGCCCATTTCCCACCTTAATGAACAAATAGATGGAAGGCGTTATCAATACTGGCACTAATAAGCAATTCTGATCACTAACCAGCTGCATGTCTATCCTAAGTTTGGCTTTCTCCAGAGCTATTCGTTGACAATTCATTGCAGCCTTGATCTAGGCACGGTGATAAACTTGATGTCAGAGGAGACAGATGAGTAAAACTCACAGGGTATCAAAGCAGTTGTGGCCTCAGTGTAGCACTAAGAAACCCAATAAAGCTCAGGATGATGGGGGTCGATTGTAGCATCTGCAATAATTTGTCCCTACAAGAGTAGGATGATTATGGTTGTTGGAAATCATTTGTTGAAGACTTAGGAGGTCTTTGCCAGTGTTTCTCAGGGTACCACCCTCTGTTCAATCATACTCAACTGCTTCAGCCATGACTTTCAGTTTATCAGGTTAGGACTTGGCTGTTTGCTTGTGATTGTATAATATTAAGAATCATTGCTGAATCTCCTACAATCACCAGTTAACAATTGGCCAGAAGACTAATTGTACAAACAGTCAAAGTGAAAGCATGAGCAATTTGTTTCCTGACTGACTTCCCATTATCTACAATATTTCAGTCAGAACTGTGAAGGAACAAAAGTGTGACTGGTCAAAATGAATACAAATGTAAGAACACTCCAGACTCTGACACCAGATAGAGCATATCACTTCAGTAGATGTCCTTGCAAGCTAATTCAGCGAAAGAGCTGGCACAGACATGATGGGGTGAATGGCCTCTTTCTTTGCCATGTGAGTTTTTATGTTATTTCTTAAGGCATTTATACAAACGACCAGATGCTGCTGTGTGTGCAGTATACACTCACTACGGAATGCACTGCAGCAAATCACCACATTTACTTCCGAAGCAGTTCCAGGCTCTGCCATCAACACCGCCTAAAGGACCAGAGCATCATTGTGAGGGCATCATTCACCTCATTCACCACCCTGAATCTTCATTCCTTCATCATTGATGTGACAACATCCCTGGTACTGTATCCATAACAGCATTGTGGGATCACTTTGTGCCAAAACCAGGCATGGATGCAACACCTGAGAGAAGTGTTATGAAGGCTTAGTCTTTCATATTTTTAGAGAGCTTGAGTTTTAAAAGATTATGGAGAAATGTATTTATTCCAAGTTCTGTGGACACTGGGGTGGATTTACTTTTATTTTAAGTGACTTTAGACATTTGAACAATGTTTGTTTCAAAAAAGTATTTCTGGAAACCACATGGTTTCAGCTAATTACTGGATTTGTTTTCTGGAGGTCACCTACTTGTATTTCTCAGTGCCGGAGAACTAGTTTTGGTTTGAAAGTTTTTTGAATGAGGTGGGAGTTGGTGTCCAGCCTGCTGAATGAAAGGAGCTTCCCAGCTCAACTCTCCAGTTCCTGAACAAGCCCAGTGGGGGACAGGGCTCTCACTTGAGCAAAGTCATCTTAATGTTGTGTGCATTGGAGCATTCTGAAGGATTGACATTTATACTTTCATGTTTCAAATTGTGTTAATGAGCTTTACATTTTTGCCCAATAAATCCTGTTCGACAATAGATCAATAATTTTGTTGTTTATTAACACAATCTGATTGATGGATATTTTTATTCTAAGCCTAATAGAAATAAAGTATGCAGTTGGCTATGTCATTATCATCATTATCTATATCTCCCATTGGCTCTGAAATGGCCCAGTATATGCCACTTATTGAAGGGCAATTAATGATGGGTAACAAACATTGGCCTTGTCAATGACACCCACACACCTCAAAAGAACAAAAGTTATTATCATGTTTTCATCTCTTAACAAGAATGAGAAATGTAACAATGGGGAAGGTGCAGATCATTGAAGGTGACAGGGCAGCTGGAGAGAGCAGTTAATAAAGTATACAGTGTTCTCAGCTTTATACAATACAAGGGCAGGGAGATGATGTTGAACTTGTACAAGACACTTGTTAGACCTCAGCTGGAATATTATGTACAGTTGTAGGTGCTACGTTATCGGAAAGATGTGAATGTATTGGAGAGAGTGCAAAAGTGATTTACAAGAATGGTTCCAGGAATGAGAAACTTCAGTGATGAGGATAGATTGAAGAAGTTGGGACTGTTCTCATTGGAGAGGAGAGGGTTGAGAAGAGATTTGATAGATATTTGCAAAATCATGAGCAGGCTGGACAAAGCAGAAAGGGACAAGCTGTTCCTGCTTGTAAAAGGAACTAGAATGAGAGGGGCATTCAAAATGACGGCAGAAGAAGCAAAGGTGATGTGAGAAAAAACATTGACACATAAGTTCAATAAGTTCACAGCAAGTAGTTAGGGTTTGGAACGTACTGCCTGGAAATATGGTGGATGTTGACTCAACTGAGGTATTTAAGAGGTAATTGGATGGTTATTTGGATAGAAGTGGTGTTCAGGGATGTGGGGAAAAGGAAGGAGTAAGGTGCTTGATGATAGAACCTGTGCAGACACAATGGTTATCTTCTACACCATTATAATTCTGCGATTCTGTGAAATTAGTAAGTCAATAAAACATTTAAATTAATGTTGTGACCAGTAGAAGAGTGGGACAAGAAGGAGGTAGTACACTCATCCCAACCTGGTCGTTACAAATGACAGGAAAACTCTACTGGACACATCAAGGCAGCCAGTCATCCCCAAGGATGGAATCAAGCAGCTCAAGAACTTCATAAAAACTGAAAGAACTGCAGATGCTGTAAATCAGGAACACAAACAGAAACAAAAACAAAGTTGCTGGAAAAGCTCAGCAGGTCTGGCAGCACCTGTGAAGGAAAAAACAGAGTTAACGTTTCGGGGCCAGTGACCCTTCCTCAGAACAGACTCGAAACATTAACTCTGATTTTTTCTTCACAGATGCTGCCAGACCTGCTGAGCTTTACAAGAACTTTGTAGTTTGATTGTAATTTGTATAATCTTGTATATCAATGTGGGTTTGATTTTAATTCTCAGCCAAAGGGATGTGTGCTGTGTGTAATACTGCAGACTTGGACTTGGAACCTAGGTTATTTCAATAAATCAATAATTTTGTTGGAAGTTGGAAAGCTGAAATAATTCCCCATATGTCGAGTTCTTAAACCCATATGAACTCTTAACTCCAAAATCCTGTATGAGTGTGCTCCAAGGTGAATGTTTATCAGATTTAGATTGGGCAAACATATACTTTCTAATAATATGTGAACCTGTATATGCAAGCTGTGATTAATTAATGGAGCTGTGTGATTAAATGAATTATTTTAAAACATTTTTTCTTTTCTTGCAGGTGATTCTTCATGTCCAAGAGTCCAAGGACAACAGGGTCCAAAAGGATTGCCAGGGCCACCAGGTATTTTGCTTTCAATAAATCCAGTTGGATTATTGCATTTCAAAATAAGCGATTAAGAAACCGATGAAGTAAATGTTAGAGGTAGAATGAACAGAATAAATGTGGTTGAAGTACTCAGAAGCCAGAAAATGAACATTTAAGGTCTTGAGTCTAATATCCTCTTAGTTCTGTTACTGCCTTCTTATCTATGCACTCTTCTGAACATACTTGAGATGAGAAAATGAATCTGAATATCAGCTAGCTATTTAATATTCTAATGCCTCAGATTGAATCTTCAGGATTCTTAAGGGGGAGGGAGAGCAGCCAGAAGTCATGGTATGCATTGGCACCAATGACATAGCTAGGAAACAGGATGAGGACCTGAAAAGTGATTATGGTGAGTTAGGATGGAAGCTGAAAGCCAGGACGAGTAGAGGAGTAATCTCAGGATTACTATGGGTGCCACGGGCTAGCGAGGCTAGAAACAGAGAGAGAGTGCAGCTGTACACATGGCTACAGAGCTGGTGTAGGAGGGAAGGCTTCAGGTTTGTGGATCATTGGGATACCTTCTGGGGAAGGTGGGACCTGTACAGGAAGGACAGGTTGCACCTGAACTGGAGGGGCACCAATATTCTGGGTGGGAGGTTTGCTAGAGCTCTTCGGGACGGTTTAAACTAGTTTGACAGGGGGATGGGAACCGGAGGTACAGATCAGAGGATAGGGTAGCCAGTGTACAGACAGATAGAGCAAGCAGAGAGTCTATGAGAAGGATAAGCAGTTGATAGGGCATTGTTGCAGTCAGTGTGACGGGTTGATGTGTGTCTGCTTCAATGCAAGAAGTGTCAGGAATAAGGGTGACGAACTTACAGCATGGATCAGTAATTGGAACTATGATGTTGTGGCCATTATGGAGACTTGGATAACACAGGGGCAGGAATGGTTGTTGGATGTTCCAGGGTATAGATGTTTCCTGCTCCTCTGATGCTGCTTGGCCTGCTGTGTTCATCCAGCTCTACACCTCCTAAGTGCAAATAGTTTGGATGGAGCAGATTTTGTCAGGTATGTCCAGGAAGGATTTCTGACTCAATATGTAGATAGACCGACTAGAGGGGAGGCCATATTGGATTTGGTGCTTGGCAACGAACCAGGTTAGATGTCAGATCTCTCGGTGGGAGAGCATTTCGGTTATAGTGATCACAACTCCCTGACCTTTACTATAGTCGTGGAGATGGATAGGAGCAGATGGTATGGGAAAGTATTTAATTCGGGGAGGGGGGATTACAATGCTATTAGGCAAAAACTACAGAACACCAATTGGGATCAGATGTTCTGAGGGAAATGCACGATAGAAATGTGGAGGTTGTTCAGGGAGCAGTTGCTACAGGTACTGGATAGGTTTGTCCGACTGAGGCAAGGAAAGGATGGTAACGTGAAGGAACCTTGGATGACAAGACATGTGGAACACCTAGTCAAGAGGAATAAAGAAGCTTACTTAAGGTTGAGGAAGCAAGGATTGGTCAGGGCTCTAGAGGTCTACAAGGTAGCCAGGAAGGAACTGAAGAATGGACTTAGGAGAGCTAGAAGGGAGCATGAGAAAACCTTGGCGGGTAGGATCAAGGAAAACCCCAAGGCGTTCTATACTTATGTGAGGAACAAGAGGATGGCCAGAGTGAGGGTAGGGCCAATCAAGGATAGTGGAGGGAACTTGTGTGTGGAGTCAGAGGAGGTAGGGGAGGTCCTTAATGAATACTTTGCTTCCGTATTCACCAGTGAGAGGGACCTTGACGTTTGTGAGGACAGCATGAAACAGGCAGATATGCTTGAACA